ATTTTAAGCTTCTCAGTAAACACACCAATAGTTGCAAATGGCCAAAGTCAATGGTTAGCAGCTGGATGTGGGATGAGATGGTACGAGACACTCTGTGATGATCAAAGTTCCTAAGCTGTCTGGAAATGATTAGAATTTGATTCAGATACTTTTTTTCAGTTCTGGAAAAGAAAGATTAAACATAGAGCATAGAAAATATGCAGTTTTTATCCTGAGTTTTTGCTTCCATCCTCCCATCTGCATTTCAAATTGGTTGCTGCTTCCTTCTTTCCCTCCTTTCTTCTTTCCTTCAGTGCTTCCATCCTTTCCTTATTGCATCCTTCCTTTATTTCATTTTTTGTTTCTTCTTTAATGCCGTCCTTCCCTCCTTCTTCCATCCCTCCTTCATACATTAATTCCACCATTTTGTCATCCATCCATCCTTACTGCCTAAAATCTCAATTGTGTTACATATTTAAAGCTTTACAACTGCTATTCATCATAATGTTTTGTATTTACAGTAAGTATGTTGAAAGCTAATGCGTTTCAAATAACTAATGCTGCCAATATTCTCAACTTCAGACTTTTAAAATGGCATAAAAAATTTTTGAGCTACTAAAAATGTAAAAAAATTGACAAGTCAGGATTAAAATGGCAAGTATTTTCAAAGGTAAGAAGGTTGATATAAAAAACTGGTACATAAATCACCAAGCTAACAAATAAGAAAAAAGCCCCAGGTCCAAGTATGTGTGTTTCAAGGTGTACGTAACACACTCAGGCTGTACAGAGATGTTGAAACAAGAGTGTCAGATCATCTGAGCCTTTCCTGTTGTATTGAAGATCAATTGCTCGGTTGTTACCTGGGGAACGGTTGTCCTTTGCTGGAGAAAAATGCACACAGAAATGCTTGCAAAGCGCTGCTGATCCAATGGGCAGAGCTGTCATACTAAGAAAAGCAACAAGATTATAAGACTAAAATGATGTGGTATTACAACCAAATATAAAACATATGAGTTAGGTTTTAAACTAACCATAGGGAGTCAAATGCATGACTCGGCCCCTTCTTCCTGAATTCGTACCTCGATCCTCCCTCCGTTTTCTTTTTTGTGGCGCTATGTCTGCTGCGGTCTCTGTGTTAATAGGAAGCAGCCCCTTCGAGCAATATATAACCCCACTAACTACACAACTACCTCTGATCTTAGAGTAGTAAACATTGTCACTGTGGCTGAGTCTAACCGCTTTACAGCTGCAGTACAGCTCCATGGTATGATAACCTGTGATGTAAAAAGGAGGGGAAAAAAAGAAAAAAGAAGCAAATAATAAGATAAAACACCCCTGAACTAAGAGTCCTGGGGTCTCCCTGACTCTACTTACCTACTGGAGAGAAGAACTGCATACCTTCTGGGACTTTTTATCAGTTTCTATTCACACTTCTGATAGGATCATTGGAGGGATAAAATAGCTGGCCAGCAGTTGGTATACAAGTCAAAATTGTGTTGAATTACCTCCCTCACACATTGTCTTTAGAAAGCACGGACTTCTGTCTTGAACCCCGTCTTTGCTTAGTCTCTTTTTATTTTTTATAGATTAAAATAATATTGTGGTGACTAGTTCAGGGTGGAGTTGTTTTTCTTTTTTTCCATTTTTCCAAATGATTTCTCCAATTTGCAACAGCAAGACTTTGTCTTGAGAAAGTCTCTTTGTTTTTAGTTATTGTACCACTTAGAGTAATACTTTGATTATGACGAACCCTTTTATAGGCCATGTTATTATATTAAACCTGCTGATGTTAATGTGTACATAGCAGCAGGAATGCTTTACATTGACAGATTTCAGATGGGTTCTTGACTTTCTTATGCCCTTTTGAATAACATTTCAGATATGTTATTTCAGATACTCCCTGTGGATTTTTTTTTTAATCTATCACTTCATTTTTTAAGTATTTTCCTCTAATTCTTTGTTTCTTTGGGCTGTTACTGATGTCTGGTATGAAATGAAATGATGTCTTTAATACTCATTTTACCTGTTTTAAAGAATTGTATTTACAGTGATTTATATGTCCAATAGTTCCCATGGTTTTAGTCAAAATCTATTTGCCTCATCTTCGTTACTTTCTCCCAGGCCTTTGGATTGTAGGGTTTATGCCTAGAAGCACTGAAGTGTTTGAAACCTTCTGAATTGGTTCTAACTACCTGCTCCAACTGCAACATCTCTGTGTAGATTAAACTTTATTGGAGCTGGAGGGCACAGGGAAGCATAGTTGACAGGATTAGTAAGCTATTGAAGTCACTTAAGCTCCGTTGGAGAGCAAAAGACAAAAAAAGAGAGAATAATTCAACACCCTTATTTTACAGATGTCCCTTTTTGTTCTTGCTTTTCTTCTGCCCAGCTCAGATAAAGCGTACTGTCTATCCTTCTTATATCGAGAGAGAATTATTGGCAGAGATGGTGTTTACCGCTGTAATTGGGTGTATTTGATGATTAACAGGCATATTTTTTTATCAAGACTATTGTTATAGATCTGGATTAAAGTGATGAGTATGACTGTGTTTTTGCACTGCTCTGTATGTGTCACTTATTGCTCTATGAACACCTCCTTGGTGAGATGGTACTGCAGAACAAAAGATAAGGAGTACATCTGGACACTGGCATTCCCTACAGAAAGAAACACAGTAGAGATTACAAATTCTCTTGGAAACAAACCAGTTTTTATGAAGAAAATAATAAAACTTTCAGCTCAACCTTAGAAATCACTAACATTTTACAATCTTAATGCTGTATTTATCTGCCGTCATGGTGATGAGTGCAAAGTAACTATGGACTATCAAGATGGCATCAAAAGTTGTGCATGAACTTGCAAAGTTGTGGGCGGATGGAAGGTGTAGCAATGCCACGTGTCGAATTTGGCCATTGGAGAGCTGTAGCATTAGCAAGTGGGTCAAATGACAACCGTTTCACCCATATCTAATTTTTATGCTATCTTGTGTTCATGCGAGTTAGTAAGGGAGCAGGAAGACAAAATGCAGACGCAACGGGATAATCTCACAGTGCCAGACTACTAGTACTGGCACTGTGATGGCCTAGTACTAGTACTAGGCCATCAATGCCTGTAGCATTGATGGCCTCAAGTTAGCAACTCTGGGGCTTGCTCTTGTTGGAAAAATGTAAAACACAACCAAACACAGTGAAATACACAATACTTGTTTTTGCCCTAATCTAATTACCTCTGGCCAAACACAATCGCTTACTGGTTCTGAATAACAGTAAGCGGTTGCTTAGGGGCGCTTTCCGCACACAGCGCTGCCGTTCCTGCGTCACCTTCTCTCAGGCAGTGGGAAAACCAACTTTGTTGACGTAGTCAGAGACGCCTGTCTCTTCTTGGAGAATCTCTGCTCGGATTGTCTTCCAACTGGAGCCAGGTTCAGGCACGGCTGTCCTGATGCACAAAAAAAGCAGGTCGTGCTTTACTTTGGATCCAAGGTTAGTCTTCAAAGATTCAGTCTGTTATTCGTCCAGCGAGATCAAGGCGTTCAGGTCCGGAGGTCCCTCCTGTGCACCAACATAGCTGCAAGAGAGACAGAACAGTGCTCTGTGTTTGGTTTTATACCTATCACCAGCTGTGTGAAAACCCATCTTTCCTTAGAGATCGTGATGCAATTGGGCTATTCCTGGGAATCTTTACCAGTTTCTTTGTGGTTTAGGTGCAGTTTAATCCTTTGTTCTCCATGTGGCTGAGGTGAAGGCAGAACAACATTAACATAAAGTTATACTGCATACCTCTGATGTGGGGGAAAAAAAAAAAAAAACATAGATGCAGCTCCTTAAGTGCACACTTCATAGGAGGACCTATCTGCAGTTATGTTGGTTTGTGTCCCTACCAGCTTTGCAGATGTACAGATGAAACTTTTCTTTGCAAAATAGCTGAAGCTTAGTCAGACTGGATGTAAAGTGTCGATAGGACACTTTCTGCAGTTTCCCAGGTTGATTTAGATCTGCAGTTTGACTTGGTAAATCTACCACGCTTTGCTAAATCAGCTCTTCAACATACAATTAAGTTCTACAGAGTTCTGCTAATGAGTAACGTTTGTGATCCAGGTCTGTTGAAGCTGCGACACATCTAAAGGTCGCAGGACACTGACCCTCTAGGATTACAGTTTGACATCTGCGATCTAAATAATCCCCTAGCATCTGTGGTTGCTACAGTGTTGGGTCACTGCAACAAAGGAAGCTGTGCGTCTTTCCCAGCTTTCAGACTTTAGCAGGTTCCATTCATTTTCCCAACAACTCTCACCGGCTTTCCTGCCTCTGTAAGGAGGAGTGGTGATGCTTTTTACCTGGAGTCAAAGACTAATACTGTATCTGTACTTCAACAGATTGTCTCGCTTGAGATGTGGATCCCTGCAGCTCCTCCAAAGTTACCATGCACTTTTTGACTCTTAATAATGCTCCATGCCTGGTCTTGTAGTTTATGTGGACAGTCATATATTGTTTGGTGTGAATATGCTGTTTCCGTGCTCCGATGATGGATTGAACAGAGCTTTGTAACATGCCCAGAGCTTTGGACATTGTTTGAAAACATAAACTTCTCCAACATTTTCCCTGACCGGTCTGTTGTATTCCTTAGTCTTCCTGATGTCTTTTGTTTACTAATGCTCTCCAAGGAATTTTTTACAGCCTTCACAGAACAACACAACTGTATTTATGCGACTTGTTACGGCAACCCTGGATTTTATTAAGGGGTATCAGGGTAGGGACAAATGGGATAATTACAAATACAAACCACAGTTTTGTTATTTCATTTTCATTTAATTTTCAATTCACAGTGATGCAATACATTATTTTGAGCTGTCACATGAAACTCCACTAATATATACTGAAGTTTGAGCTTCTAACATGATGAAATGCAAAAAAAAAAAAAAAGTTGATGCTTTGATTTTTGTTTAGGTGTCTCACATTCACAAAGGTATGCCCATGTCCCTGTGCCAGTGTGCACTTACATTTGTATATATCTGTGCTGACAGGACGAACGGCTGGCTCCCGCCTGCAGTCTGGCAGTTGTATACCCAAGCATGCTGTCATCACCATCAGTCTCCCGGCTCCTCGCTGCGCTACATCCCCCGTAGGGCAGTTCTCTACTGCCCTGGCAATGATGAACGAAAATTGAAGAAACTGGCCTTGCTGGATGTTGACTGCGCCGTTCTGGACTGTGAGGATGGCGTGGCCCTCACCAAAAAGGTACAAAAAAAAAACAAAAAAACACCTATTGTGCCTCGCATAAATGAAAATCAGCTTGCTGTAAACGGGATAGCGGGGAACACACAAACACATGCTTTATTTTGTGATCTTGGCCTGATTTTAATTTCACCTCCCTCTGCCAGACAGGTGCTTGCTCTTAATCACTGAAAAGGAAAACTACCTAAGTGAGATGTTTAAAACGAGCACATTTCACCCCATTGTGCTTGCAGAAAAGCCCCGGGTGCCCCCCCCGCCCCCCCTCATCAGCCTTTTAAAGCAAGGTGACCACGTCCCACTGGGTGAGCAGTGGGAAAGCGCCAGATGCAGCAGGTTAAAAGCATTCTCCTCCGGCCCACTCAACCTCCCCATTGGCCCGGCTGAACTGCCCATGAAATCGTGATTGGAGCGCAGGATAAAGAGGCAGCCCAGGCAAAAAAAGTTAAACAACAAAGGTTTTTAAGTCATGATAATAAAGATGATTGATATGGCTGGAGGCTGTTCCTGTAGCAGACAAAGACAATAAGCTGATGGCCTGTGTGACTGACAGGCCAGAAACTGTGACCCTGCGCTGGTGGATCTCAGAGCTTCTGTCTTTATAATGTGTTGAAGGGGGGAAACGTGGAGGAGAATGCAGCACAGAAGGCGCCATGCAGGCTAGTGGAAAAAGTCTGAGGCTGGACTCCTGCCAAAACCGCTCCGGTCCAACCTACATATTTCGCACACTATAGCCCACACTGGCCAATCACTGTATATCCGACTGGATTTGGTGGGAATTATTATATATTTTGAATAAGACATGAATGATTTTTCTGAAAAGCCTTTTTTTTTTTCTTTTTTTTTATGTCAGCGATTAGCTGGTGGGTTGCACTTGTCACCCTGACATGTGCTGTTGCAATTGAAGACAAAAATGCATTAGCAACAGGGTAGAACCATTCCTTTTAAGATGGAAAATAATGTTCCTCAGCAGGTTTACCACTCCGTCTTCCACATGCAGCCCTCTGAGTAATGCACATCAAAATACCAACACTAACTTCAGGAAAATTGCATTCTACATCAGTGGTTTTTCTACCCAATAATCCCTTTACTTCCTCCTTTTCTCATTTTTAAACATCAGCACAGCACAGGGTTTTGCCACCGCATTGCTATTCGCCGTGTTAGCTTTCAGCTCGGTGTGGAATGCTTCAGAGCTACAGTATGTTTTCTTTGTTGTGCTGTAATTTGCTCCATAAATAAATTTGCCTTCCCCGCTGCCTTTCTTTCAATACTTTCACGGTATTGACATCTTTTTCTTTTGTCCTGGCAGAATTAGCTGTCAATAGTTGTTGGTTTATAGCGTTTCTTCCAAAATCAGTACCTTATTTGGGGCATCATACGGTGCCAGAGATTTGAATTTCAAGACATTTATCTTTCCTAGACGGAGAATTTTTGCAGAGGATTTATAGGCAGTTAAACTGCAGCCATTCTCCAGATTTCCTTAATTTTGGTAGTCATGAAACATTTAGTTTTTAGCCATATTTAAATGTTCATGTTTTAAGGACTTTTTCATTTAACTATGTAAAAGGCAAATATCACATTTTGTGACTGGAACACCTAAAAAATATATAATTGTTTAATGTAAATGAAGAGCAATCAACCTTTTTCATTGATTTTTTAAAATAGTTAAGCAATTTAAAATTCAACATTCGGCTCTCTCTAAATGGATTATGACATAATAAACGTCACCTGCAGTGCTTATAGAACATATTTAGACCCCTTCATTTTCCACACGTCCACATGAGGCTGATGCTTTTTACCTGTCAGATATACATGTAAGGTTTGCCTAAAAGAATGAGACATTTCGCTTAGTGTTTCATAGTATTTATCAGTCCCTCCAGGATTTTGATTGCTTTTTAGATCACAGATTTTTCTTTAGAAACACTTGGAAGATAATTTTTCCATATTTACAAGAGGTTTAAAGTGACTTTACATATGTCACAGAATGAAGACTTTTTGAATCATCTGGAGCTTTAATTGTTGGAAATGTCAGCTTTTGTTTTTTTTTCCCCAGAGGGAGACTTTTTTCACTTTTCTCATGTGTCAGATTGAGGTCTTGGACCAATTCAATTTTTGAGGGTATATGTTCAGAAAAACATGATGAAAACATGCCTTAAGTTTGACGTCAGCTGCGGTCTCTCTTCGTTTGGAGTTTATAAAATGAGAGCAAGGTGCACCCCTAAAGTTTGCAACATTTTCCTAGATATCCATCTGTTTTTCTACCTAAAAACATGAAAAAATAATGTCCTCAGTCCCTCCTCTCTTGTAAATGTGTTGTAAGTCAGTTAACTTTTAAAGTCTAACAAGTTTTGGCACATTTTTCTCCTTAACTTGATTGAATGGGTGTCTTTAGTAAATTGTGATGACAATCATTCACCAAATTCAATGCAAAGCATACTTTCTACTAAGCTCAGATGTTGTTAAATACACTTTCACCTTATCTGTGCTGACATATTTGCTGGAAGCTTTCCAAACAGACCTCCTAACGTCTTTTATTAAGCCAATGGGTCCCACTGATCGGTAAATGAATGGCAGTTCTAGCTATTACAATCTACGTTGCTCTGTGTGTATTCGCGCTGACACAGTGTCTACAGTGTCTAGCCTCGTCGCGATTATATTCACCATGACAACCACACAGTCCGCTCTGTGGGTTCGGCAAGGCTCACAAGGCCCTCGACAATGACTCAAAGTCTCGTAATGCATGTCTAATGGGAGAAAAGCACAGGCTTGGCTTTTTAAATGTCATCTTGAAGCAGTGTTTTAGACGAAGGCCACAATGGGCTGGGTGAAGTGTGAACTTAGTCGCTGCGTACGCATGGATGTCCCTTACATAGGGCCGCTGCTGCTGACCACCGCCGTTTTATTATACGTCCGCTAATGCATTCTATTCATTACTCGTCACCTTCACCTGAAAAGGAAGTTTATGAATTTAAACCAAAATAAAAAAGTACATGATCAGCCCTCCCTCCCACTCTATTGGAAGTTGAAATCTGGAACTGTGTGTGGTAATTGCCACTTTGACTCATGAAATGTCTGCACTTCAGATTGGCTGAAACGGTGAGTGTTTAAGTGGGTAGAGAGGTAAGACAGGGGAGTAAAGCCAGAGTTTGCTAACTGTCACTGTGGACCTGATGGGGAGGAGGAGGAGGTGGAGGAAAGGAAAGCAGGGGAAGACAAGGCTGACTGCTCTAACACTTTTACACATATCATCATATCTGTATGATCAGTGGGGTGGAGGAATAAGGAGGGCAGGTTAAAACCCTGGAGCGGAACTGACGGCTACACCTGTCCTCTCTCCTCCTCTCTCCCTTGCCGTCTTGTTCTCTATATTGCCTGTCTCCCCCTCTTTGGTGTCCTTAGGGTTACGATTGTTTATCTCTCCCTCCCCCCATGTTCCCTCTCCGTCTCGTAGTGCCCTTTGGTCCAGTATTCCTCCTGGTGTTCCTCTTTCCCCTTCTCCTTTCCCCACATGGGTCCCTCCATCCTCGATGACTCCCCCCTGCCTCCCTGCCGCAGAGAGTCTCTCCTAATCCCTGGAAGTTTGGAACTAATGAACTAACTGCTGAGCCGCTGCCACGGAGCTTGGTCCCAAACTATACTGTACTTCACACTCGATTTCCTCTCCAGATGGCATAGTGGCGCGGCCGACACGACGGGGAGCGCCTCTCACACACCAGCAAACGTACACAAGACGGGCACAATAGAAACATGCACACGCGTCTGTACGTGCTAACGCTCGCGCGAGCGTGCACACACACAGACACACACAGACGTTTGCACATAAAAAGCAGAATTGGTAAGAATAAAATAGAGATGGAGAAAACTGCGTGCAGTTCAGTTTAGGTACATTCAGACAACAAACGGCACCCTGAACCCAGCGTACCCCCCCTGGGTTTTCACCCCGGGTTCGCTACATTTCCTCGGAGACGCTGAGCTATTGGGTAGATACGGCAAATTAACTTCGCTGAAGTGTGAAACGTAGCTGCTTAGTGAAGTGTCAGTGCTCCAGCAGTGGACACTCAGCAGCTTTTTAAAGCTTTTAAATCAGGAAGTGTGCTTCAATTGTGGTAATGTAGATTTTTGATCCTGTAAGTAACGAAACACGAACCAAGATATGAGGTTAACAAATGACGGCTGCAGGATTTTGTAAAATTATTGAAGCAACTTGCAAAGAAATTGAAACGGATGCCAATATTTAGAACTTAGACCTATTGCTGATATTTTAAGCTGACACCGTTTGTTTTATTTTCCAGATATGATAGTGATTATTTCTTGTCACATTTAGACTCTGACTTGAGCTGAACGAACCAGTAGCTTCCTTTCCCTTCAGTGGTTCTATTCATGTTGTGGTGGAGTCATCTCAAGTGGCTACAGATTTGTTTTTGGTCATACTTAAGGTACTTTTTCTCAGTCAAAAAAAGTTGAGTACCTTCAAGAATTGTTTTTTTCAGTCCTAAATATTTATACATAAATTCATTCACGTAATCATCTCTTATTTCCCCCTCATATAACAGTATTCTTATTTTGATTACATTTTCACCTCACACGCCATAAGAACATCACAGAGGGGATGAGTTAGGCCATTACACAATACTTTAACTTATTAACCAAAATATGACTGAAAATATAAAGTTTTCCTTTCCTAATATTCAAACAATGGGCTGTATTTATGATGCCCACTGCCAGCATCGTATTACCAGTAGTGGTAAAATACCTCTAACAGTAAAGGTACTCTGATCCCAGCCATACTGTTAGATTAAGGAGCTTGTAAAAACCATCAATTAGTTTGTTTTCATTGTTTTAGCAACAACACTTAACAAAAGTGATAATTATCCATATCTAATCTGAATGACTAGCGAGAATGAACGACAGATTTGATTGTTGTCATGATTTATTACTGACACTTACAGTTCCTATAAAATAAATGCATCTTAAACTTTATTTTAACGTATGCTTTAAGTTGGCTAAAGGTGACAGAGGACCATTTGTCTTAGCTAATCTTCAAAATGGGAAAGACCTTTCTGTTCTGTAGATTATGATCTATTTATATAAAAGAGAAAAGTAAGGCTTAACTACTTTATTGCTACAATGTTACAACAATAATTTTTCAACATAAAATAAACACAGGCTAAATTTAGACTGTTTTTCTTTTTTGGGGGGTAAACGTACAAATTGTTGTAACTGTTTTCTATAGTTTTAAAACACCAAAAGAGTGATGCTGGCTCTCCTTTCATTTCAATTGTGATATTGTTGAAAGCAGAAACATTTTCAAACAGCTGAATTTCTCAAGCAAGCAGAATATGTAGCAAACTTCAGTTAAGCCAGCTGACATGCAGGGCGCAGCAACAGGTGAAGGGGGGACTACGGTGTGGCTCTTGCTCCAGCATACCACTAAAAGAACTTTAACATATATATATATGGTATGATGGAAAATGGAAGTTTCTGGAACAATAACTGCATAAACCTTGGTATAACTTGATAATGGCCCATACTTCCAGGAAGAGTAATACTTAAAAAAGTTTAACAACTTTGAAGCATATTGTTCAATAGTAGGTTTTAATAATACAGTATGGCATAAGCTGGTAACATTTTCTTTTTTTACACACAGCTTTATTAAGCTGTGCCAATAACTGTAATCATGACAAATATACACATAAGTAAAAATCAGAGAATACTCCATCAGGCATAAATTTTCTACATTACTTGCTGAATATTCTGTGGTACTTTCCTCCTTAACCGTACTCTTGCTGGAATGACTCCTTTATCGTGGGGTAAAAGTGGGCGGGGGGTGGGGTGAAAGTGGGTAGTGGGGGTGGAGGGAGGAGGTTAAAAGTGGTGTTTTCTGTGATTCTATATGCCCAATTGGACCATTTACCGGTGGTCTGGAGCGGGTTCTCTCATGCCTCCATTAAAAGCGGTTGAATGACAAACAGGTCATTGTTGTATGGATTACATTATTACAGTCTATTACCTTTGTCTGATTGTCAGTCAGCATGAGCTGTGCTGTATGCATGAATTGTGTCTGACACCAGAGATTTTCAACTTAACATAAATTATGCAGTCAACTGTCAATTGCTGCATGACCTCGATTCAATGCTCACTGTGCTTTTCCAAAGGACACAGAAAGCTTTGCTCCCTTCTTTAAAACCAGACTTAGTCAGGTACGGTCTTAACGGAGAGTGCTCCTGGGAAGTGATATTGCAAAGTTGGAATATGA